AAGAGAAGTCACAGAAAATACAAGAAACAAATGGAAAAGAAGGCAGTCCATTCATTCGAAACACAGCGGAGAGGTAACTGCAACTGAAAGCCAAACACAAAGTAATTTTGATTTCATTAAACAAATAGCAGAGATATAATACAAGTGATGCTTTCAGATGATTTTTAAAATTATTTCTAACCTAAGTAATAGACTAAATGGCATTAAAAGGACACTTGGGGCCTACTCCACACACTGACCTAATATAAGTGCACTTGGTTTTGGCAACATATTCATGATCAATTTTCTATACACATTTAAATATCTTTAGTTTTTCATTAAAAAAAAGTTTTACAGCTATCTGCAGCACAACTCCTCCTCTTCCTTAGCCACACTTCTCTTTACATAAAAATGTTTAGCATTTTCCTTTTGTATTTGAAGTACTTAGATCAACCACGTGGAGACCAGTGTGAGCTGAGCTGCTGGCATGACTGTGCCTCACATCACTGTCCTTATTATATGTGTAATAAGAGGGCAGTGAATTTGGCTGAGGGGCTGATTCAGCAATATTACTTTTTTTCTCAGTTGGCTATAAACATTTTTTGCTCCTAATAAAAAAAAAAAAATGGCGATCATAATATTAAAAATCCTTGGAAGTAATAGTTTCCATTTAATACTTGATGAACGCTAAAGTTGACCCATTCACATAAAGAGGCTAGACATATCCCAACAAGTAATTTAATAAATTATTGGAAGCAAGGTGTTTCATGCTTGTGTTTATTATCAAGGCCACCTTTTTGTTATAATCATTAATCACTAATTAATGTAATTTTGGGTTTGTTTAATTACCAATTAATTGCGGTGAAATGAAAACTAGAAGGCAAAATTATAGTTCAAATTAAGTTGAAGATATGCCGATTTCCAAATACAATTCTCTTCATTTCACCATAAATAACTGTTTAGGGATTAACACCTTTATGTTACATTTGGGTTGTATTGCTTATCACTGGTTGCAATTTCACACTGTGCTCTGTTATCCTGCAATTTGCTGTATTCTTGTTAGCTGCTTTATATCTCAAGGCTTTTGGGATTTGTACATGCCTTCCTGCTGAGAGACATCAGAGAGCAGGGACATCACTTGTGAACATCTAGCTGTATTACTCAAAGATCCATTGATTCACGTAATTTTCAAACATTAAAGACAAGGATGTGACTTTGGACACACAGGTTAGATTCCGCTAAAACAAACCTTGAAAACATATACTACCATATCTGCAAATCTCTTGCACTAAGAAAAACATGGCATACCCCACTGTATAAGGAAGACTTCCCAACCATAGTTCATAAAAAAATAAATAAAAGTTAATATTATGATACTGTGCATTTCACTACATTCCACATTTTCAATGGTATATCAAAACTAAATTTACGGAAGCATTTTCAACAGTGTTGTAACACCACATTTAGGATGGACTCAGACTTCTATATCTTTTGTTCTCATCATGGCTGCAATTAGAAATATTGTGGCCCCTTGCACAGCGCAAGGCTTGGTTCCCCTAGGGCACACCCTGAGTACTCCTGAAAGGCCCATCCCAGAGTCCACCCACAAGGGTGAGTAAAGTGGATTCAGTGTATAGTATTTTCAGTGTTTGTGTGTGTAGAGTGAATGGAGTGTTTGTGTGCATAGTTGATGCAAGGTGGAAGTATGTGTATAATGGATGCAGAGTGTGTGTGTGTGTATATAATGGATGCAGAGTGTGTGGAAAGTGAATGCAGTGTGTGTAGTGGATGTAGTGTGTATAGTGGATGTAGTATGTATAGTGGCAGGGTAGGGGCTGTGTGGAGTGGGCTGAGCAGTTTTATAAAAATTTATAGTAATTAGAGTTGAGCGAACCCGGACTGTAAAGTTCGGATTCGTACCGAACATTACGTTTTTTCGACCCCAAAAGCGAACATGGACATATCCGTGTATGTTCGGGTTGGAGTTCGGTGTTCGGTGATTTAATGGTGCGTTTTCAAAGGCTACAGGGCAGCCAATTAACAAGCGTTTGACTCATGTGCCCTTAGAAGCCATCACAGCCATGCCTACTAATGGCATGGCTGTGATTGGCCAGTGCAGTGTGACCCAGCCTCTATATATAAGCTGGAGTCGCGTAGCGCCGCACGCACATGAGCTCTTATTAGTGTAGGGAGAGGATGCTGCCGCTTTCAGGGACAGACTAGGAAAGAATTCTGCAAACCAGTACATTAGTGGGGTGCACTTAGAAGCTTCAAATACCGTGGTTACATCAGAGTTTTAAAACTTAATATTTTTTGGGTGCTAAAAAGTATATTAGTGTGGTGCACTTCATATCTGAGAGTCAAATAGAAGTGTCAAATACTGCTGTCACATTGCAGTTTTAAAACTTAAAATTTTTGGGGTGCTAAACTGCTAAATATTTTATATAAGTATTTTAATGGGGTGCACTTCATATCTGAGAGTTACATAGAAGCGTCAAATAGTGCCCTTACAGCGCAGTTGTAAACATTCTAATTGTTTTGCTGCTAATCTGCTAAATAGTACATTTTGAGGCCTGCTCTTCATATCTGAGAGTCACATAGAAGCGTCTAATCGTGTGCTTACAGCTCAGTGGTAAACATTCTAATTGTTTTGCTGCTAATCTGCTAAATAGTACATTTTGGGGCCTGCTCTTCATATCTGAGAGTCACATAGAAGCGTCTAATAGTGTGCTTACAGCGCAGTGGTAAACATTCTAATTGTTTTGCTGCTAATCTGCTAAATAGTACATTTTGGGGCCTGCGCTTTATATCTGAGAGTCAAACAGATGCATCTCATAGTGTGCTTACAGCGCAATGGTAAACATTCTAATTGTTTTACTGCTAATCTGCTAAAAAGTACGTTTTGGGGCTTGCGCTTCATATCTGAGAATCAAATAGAAGTGTCTAATAGTGTGCTTACAGCGCAGTTGTAAAAATTCTAATTTTCTGGGTGCGAATCTGCTAAATAGTACATTTTGGGGCGTGCACTTCATATCTGAGAGTCAAATAGAAGCGTCTAATAGTGTGCTTACAGCGCAGTGGTAAACAGTCTTATTTTCTGGGTGCTAATCTGCTAAATAGTACATTTTGGGGCCTGCTCTTCATTTCTGAGAGTCAAATAGAAGCGTCTAATAGTGTGCTTACAGCGCAGTGGTAAACATTCTAATTGTTTTGCTGCTAATCTGCTAAATAGTACATTTTGAGGCCTGCTCTTCATATCTGAGAGTCACATAGAAGCGTCTAATAGTGTGCTTACAGCGCAGTGGTAAACATTCTAATTGTTTTGCTGCTAATCTGCTAAATAGTACATTTTGGGGCGCGCACTTCATATTTGAGAGTCAAAGAGAAGCGTCTTATCGTGTGCTTACAGCGCAGTGGTAAACATTCTAATTGTTTTGCTGCTAATCTGCTAAATAGTACATTTTGGGGCCTGCTCTTCATATCTGAGAGTCACATAGAAGCGTCTAATAGTGTGCTTACAGCGCAGTGGTAAACATTCTAATTGTTTTGCTGCTAATCTGCTAAATAGTACATTTTGGGGCCTGCGCTTTATATCTGAGAGTCAAATAGACGCATCTCATAGTGTGCTTACAGCGCAATGGTAAACATTCTAATTGTTTTACTGCTAATCTGCTAAAAAGTACGTTTTGGGGCTTGCGCTTCATATCTGAGAATCAAATAGAAGTGTCTAATAGTGTGCATACAGCGCAGTTGTAAAAATTCTAATTTTCTGGGTGCGAATCTGCTAAATAGTACATTTTGGGGTGTGCACTTCATATCTGAGAGTCAAATAGAAGCGTCTAATAGTGTGCTTACAGCGCAGTGGTAAACAGTCTTATTTTCTGGGTGCTAATCTGCTAAATAGTACATTTTGGGGCCTGCTCTTCATTTCTGAGAGTCAAATAGAAGCGTAACTTTGATTCGAACTTAATACATCGGTCACTTGTAATATTGTTTCACACCTACAACACATGTTACACAGATCTAAGTGATAGAAAACAGATTGATATTTTCTACACTAGAAACTAACAGATAACAAGCTGCTATATTTACACCAGTTATCAATAGCTAAGAGGTACTTAAACAATATTGTAATTCTGGGGCAATACCCTCACAAGTCAAACTGAGAGGTCAGTTTATAGGGAAAACAGTTGCCTGGATACAATTTTAAACAATTTCCATATGTCCTTTACAGATTTTACATGCTGGAAAAACACAGGTGCCAACTGCTGTGGTTTTCTGCAGTGTGCATACCGGCAAGGAGGGCAGGGTTGAGGAGTGGGTGGAAGATGATGTGGAGGATGATGAGGTCCTAAACCCCACATGGAATCAAGGTCATGCGAGTGACGTGTGCAGTTTGGAGGAAGAGGCGCTGGTCGCACAGAGACACCAGCATAAGAGGGAGCAAGGTGCAAAAGCGGAGCGGCCGTCCCCTAGCGCTCGTTGGCATGTATTATCTTTAGAATTCCCACAGTTATCCAAGTAGCAGTTGAAGTGATAAAAAGAACCATAACAGATTTATCGAGCCATTCGCAGTCCGTTGACCGGGACCCAGACACTGTCTGAGCGGCGGTCGGACGACCGGGACCCAGTATGCCTGATGTAGAAGTTAGGAGTCACAGTGTGGAACGGTTTAGCAGGGTCTGGTGCAGGGTAACCGCACGCCCCCTGGTGTTGAGCACTAGCATTTGTGCGGCCACATACCAGGAACCTGATGCAGCTTCAGTAAAAAAAGTACTGGATCCCAGAAGCCATCACCAGACTGATCTGCAACTTGGAACAGGATGTGACATTCACTGTAGCGGCTGTGCGCGCTTTTGGCGTTCTTACCCTGCTGCTGCTCACCCTGTGCGCGCTCATCGGCGTTCTTACCCTGCACTGCAGCATAACTTTGGCCTTCCTGCTCACTGCCTCATATGCGACTTGCCCGTGGAACTCCACCTTGCACATGCTCGAGAGACTGTTTGAGCAGCAGCAGGTGATAGTGGAGTCTCAGCTGCAGCACGCACAGGTCAGTGGCTCTGCACCAGATTTGCCTCCAATTGATCAGAGTTAAAGGATTTCAAGTGGACTCATTACAATTACAGGGCCTCTAAAGAGTCCTGTATTGTTATTTGTCGTCACTACCTTCCCACGTCGGGAGTAGGTCATTTGCGTGCCTGCTGCCATCCTTGCATGTGGTAGCTGTTTGTCAGGGTCCCTGTACAAAATCGAACCCTGATTCCCCGTTACCCGTGGTCACCATAGTAGGCGCAGTCAATGGCATTGATAGTTTATATGGATTGACATACGAATGAGTCGTCGCCTTCTCGTTTGGGAGCAAATTGAAAAAGTGCTCTAGCATGAGGAGCTGGGTGATCTCCTCCGGGAACTTGGCTTAATGAGAGTTGAGCCAGTTCTGGGTGGCCCTTGTGATGCCACAGTGTTTACCCAAATATATCAGAGCTGCTGCAGAAAGCGCGGGCTGTCTGTGCACGCTTTTGGCATTCTCACCCTGCTGCTGCTCGTCTGTCTGAGCTGCAGCGTAACTTCGACCTTCCCGCTCACCGCCTCATGAAACCGTGCAAGCGGCAGCAGGTGATAGTGGAGTTTCAGATGCAGCACGCATGGGTCAGTCGCTCTGCGGAACAGTTTTCTTTTTTTATATGTCCCAATATTTTGGGGGCTACCCCAATTAAAATAAAAAATAAATATATATAAAAAACAGTGTTGGCTACCTCCTCCTCCTCCTCCACCGCCGCTTCCACCTACACCACCACGGTCACCGCCTCCTCAACCTATGGGTCACTTAGTATAAACTATGGACACAATAGCAGAGGCTTGTGAAGGCCTTTTCTACATGCATCAGGAGTTAAGCATTTCTCCATGCATCAGGACTGCAAGAAATGCACTACAGGCCGCAAATGTTTCTCTTTTTGTATGTCCCAATATTTTGGGGGCTACCCCAATTAAAATTAAATAAATAAATAAAAACAAATAAAAAACAGTGTTGGCTACCTCATCCTCCTTCTCCACCGCCGCTTTCACCTACACCGCCACGGTCACCGCCTCCTCAACCTATGGGTCACTTACTATAAACTATGTACACAATAGCAGAGGCGTGTGAAGGCCTTTTCTCTATGCATCAGGAGTTGAGCATTTTTCCATGCATCAGGACTGCAAGAAATGCACCGCAGGCCGCAAATGTTTCTTTTTTTATATGTCCCAATATTTTGGGGGCTACCCCAATAAAAAAAAAAAAAAAAATATATATATATATATATATATATATATATATATATATATATAAAAAACTGTGTTGGCTACCTCCTCCTCCACCGCTGCTTCCACCTACGTCGCCACGGTCACTGCCTCCTCAACCTAAGGGTCACTTAGTATAAACTATGTACACATTAGCAGAGGCTTGTGAAGAGGCCTTTTCTCCATGCATCAGGAGTTGAGCATTTCTCCATGCTTCATGACTTCAAGAAATTCACCGCAGGCCGTAAATGTTTCTTTTTTTTATATGTCCCAATATTTTGGGGGCTACCCCAATTAAAAAAAAAAAAAACAGTGTTGGCTACCTCATCCTCCTCCTCCACCATCGCTTCCACCTTCACCGCCACGGTCACCGTCTCCTCAACCTATGGGTCACTTAGTATAAACTATGTACACAATAGCAGAGACTTGTGAAGGCCTTTTCTCTATGCATCAGGAGTTGAGCTCAGTTTGAACAATGAAAGAGAATACCCTGCACTCCAACCCTCTCTCAAATGGATAATTCTGGTGATCCTCCTGACAGCCACGCTTTAGATTTTGATTTATGTTCTTCCAAAGCTAAAATCAAAGATTCCATCTAGTGCTATTTTATGGCTCAGCTGTATTTTTAATTTTTATGTTATTTTAAGTGATTTCCCTATCCACATTTGTTTGCAGGGCACTTGTCCTACTCTTACCCCAATTTTAATTCCTTTTGCGGCTGTCTAGCCCTTTCCAGGAGTTTTTTAGAGGCATTTTTGTGCCCAAAAGTTCGGGTCCCTATTGACCTCAATGGGGTTCGGGTTTGGGGTCAAGTTCGAACCCGGACTTTATTTTAAAGTTCAGCCGAACCCGCCGGACCCGAACATCCAGGTGTCCGCTCAACTCTAATAGTAATGCTTATTCCCCCTCTCTGCCAGGAAGGCATGCAGCAGTTCTTCCTTTCTGTCATGAGACCAGCATGTGTGGCACTGTTGTGGTGTGACCTAAATATGAATATTAATCTCTTAATACATAATAATTAAGCAATACGGAACAACATTAATATTTTTATAATTCATGGTATTATGGTCGAATATGTGGATAGAAAATACACAAAACGTTGTAATATTAAATGTATATTTAATATAACTATAACAAATAAACAGATGCTAGCAGAATGTCAATTTACTAAAATTATGATACAATACAAAACTACAAATACTTACAAAAGGTTGCTACATGTTACACAACATTTTACTTACAAGGCCCCAGCCCTTTGGCTGGGGTTAAGTCAGAGCTGCTACTACATCTTTCAGGTACAGGCAAAGAGGCAAAAAGAGTTTTCTCCTCCATCTGGTTTTATTCAGTGTAAGTAGGCTGGCCTGTGATGTCACTGCCAGAAGCACATGTCTTCCTACACACTCCCCCTAGTGGTGCCCCAAAGCATTACACTAAATATGCTTTCTTTATGATGTAAAGTCATTAATTAATAAATACCATTACAAACCACCCTTTGACTTATGTCATAAAACAAGCATTTATAAAACCAGTAAATTGTGAATCTTCCCCATTTTAACACTACCTGCCCTACAACACAACCCACCTTTTGAAAAACGTTACCCATTTACCCATTAATTATTACCCATTAACATTTTATTGCTTATATAAATGTTCACCATTGAGCACATGCATTACCAGTTGGGAAATAGGCACATACCCACCCTTATAATAATGAACAACTCAAACCATGTTTTATTAGATTAACCAATGATATTGTGTTCATGTGAGGATGTGTTTTGGAGCTTAATATAGTATTAGACACCACAAACTCATAACACCTATGAATCATGGCACAGACCGACACGATTTCTGTAGCCTCTGGCTGGTCTGTGTGCCTGGAATTTTCACAAACATTAGTCCTGGAAACTGGATACTCTATTCTTCGACAGTCTCATAGAACATACGCATGGAGACAGGGATGAATGAAACAGTTCATGTGATCAAGGACTTTTGTGTGTTTGTGGTCACATTGTTTTGTTTTTTCTTTCTTTATACCATTAACCACCTTGACGTAACAGTGTCCTGCTCCTGATGCATTTGTTCCGACTCTCACCCCTCTTAGCTGCAATATTTTTTCTCCTTACAGCGACAGTTGAGCATAGTGTCCAGTGCTGCTTCTTCTTCTGCTTGAAAGTTCTTGAATGAAAACACAGGCAATGACGAACACAAACATAAATAATAACTGTGCCAATCATCACAAGTACCAATTGATTGTGGTGTCTTAACCATATTTTTTCCTATGGCGTTTGGATAAATACCTACACACCTCTCTTCACATCCAGCACACTCCTGATTCACAGATAAACACAATATCACTGCTGTATCTACCAATTTAACCCAAACAATCGTTATTACTGCTGCATTTACCAATTTAATCTAAACACTCGTTATTACTGCCGTATTTAACCAATTTAATCTAAACATTAACCAAAACAATTACATTCCTATTTACCACCCTTCTATTTAAACATGTAATGATAACCCAAAATGCCTACTTTCTCTTATCCCTCTTATTTGTTTTTGTTTTGTTTTTTTTTGAACTGCAACCACTCATGCACTTTACACAGACACAAATCAAACGCCTACTGGACAATGGGGTTCCCTCGTTAGAGCCCTCCCACCCCAGTTTGGTTTACACAAAAATACCCCCTGGTCCCTATGGGTCAATTCCCCCCTTTCCCAGGCAAGCATACATACATACATACAACAATAATAATACATAAGGGTTTCAATTGCAATACAATCACTAGAAATAAGAGAATAGTATGCACAAAATCATAGCATAGACATGTTAAATAGACAATAAAATAAAACATTCAATAGCTCATCAAAGGTCAACATTTAAACACTGGTCTCCATCTGATATTCTATCTGTGTTCCAATGTCCACCCCTGGTTTCTGCTATATCTGAAAAAGGTAAGAAAACAGATCAGGATTACTTTTCCTTGTCACTTATAGCGTATACTGCCAAATCCTTTACTTAGCATATATACATATATACACATATAAATACATTCCCTAAACTTTTCATTTTATAAACAATTTGTTCAACAAGGTAACTTTCTTAATTTTCTACTTGGCTCTTAAAATAAACAATCAGCTAATAGCTGCTTTCTGCATCTTCTCTGCAATTCAGGAAACACATTTCTAGCCAACCTAAACATGTTTAATAACTCTCCACCCTTTGGTTAAATTATAGAGGAGTGAACCACAACACCTCTTCCGCCTCTGAAAGGATATAGGTCAATATGTCTCAAAGTTCAACACTTCTGACAGCTATGAGTGACTCCCTATTAATTTCTAGCCTTTCCACGGACATGCTTGCACCTCGCGGCTAAGGGCCTGCACAACTAACCACCCTGTGATGGCAGTGGCTTTCCGCATGGGGGTGACCGCCCCCGCAAAATTATAGAGGAGCAAACATACAGCAGCCTCTTTTCCGGCTCGATTAAAGGTTCTGGGCCAATATGTCTGCAATTTAACCAGTACACTCACGTATCACTTATTGTATATTTCCTGGTCTCTCAGGAATTTCTATTAAATAGCGTATCCCCTTCCCAGGGCAATATACAACAAAAACTAGTCACCAAGGGTCTCTATGGTCATGATAGGCCACCCTACCACTAGTGTAATACGCCCTTTTTTAAAAATATATTTCCTGGTCTCTCAGAGATTTTGCCTATCCCTTTCCCAGAGCAATATATATAAACAATTACAAATAAGTTACAAAACGCTACTTATAAGTAATACAGGGTTTCAAATAATAATACAGGATAGAACTGCACAACAACTATTGGGTATGCTCCCCCTTATCCGGACACGTTTAAATACCCCCTAGCTCAGGTTCCCCACCCGCTACTGTAACTAAAATCACAGCCCACGTTATGGAGGTTCACCCGCTAGGCAGATACACCCTAATTCAAAGCATGGAAATATTAAAATCAGTTATAGATGGCTTCTAAAATAATATAAATCTTAATCTGAGCCCTACACTTACTTTGTTAAAAATGCTAACTTGTTAAAATATTCAGACTAAATAGGACAAAGGAATTATTTTACCATTTTTTCAGTTCATTTGTTACCAGTTCCTG